ATGACCATTTTTATGGTTATTACTGATGGATTTACTGATAAAATTTTACTATTATCGATAAAATTTTTATTATTGTCGATAAATTTATTGATTATTTTTTTTATTACTGATAGACTTTTATTATTATCGATAGATTTACTAATAGAAAAAAATCCATTACGAATGGATTTAATGATAGTTTTATTGACGAAAAATTTTGTAATTAATTACTGATGAAAAATTTTATAAGTAAAATCATCGTTAATAAATTTATCAGTAATTATAGATAGATTTTATTGATGATTTTGTTATTAATAATTATCAATAAATTTAAAACATTATCGATATAGTTAGTATAGATAAAATTTTTTATTTGTAAAATTAAAGCTAAAAATATTATTGATAAATTTTAAATTTTTATTGATTAAAAGTTTTCTTCGATAAAATTTAATTTTATAATAGTGAAACTTTCTACAAGTTTTTTGCTTGTACTTCAGCGTGAGCTGTGGATAAGCAAAATTTTCACACTAAATTTCAACAAAGAACGTCAAGCCACGTGTTGTCTTTCAATCAGATTTTCAATTTTGTTTTGAGTATTACCAAAAGGTGGGCTAGTTATTGAGGTGTTCTTCCTGGCAGCACGCGGTCCCAGGTGGGTGCTATTGGGCTAGATTTAGCAGCTTCTCTGCAGTTGGACGGGCAACAATTAAAACAATCTTTATCACACAGACATTATTTGCATCTACGTCATTGCTCACCGCATCATATTTTTTTCAGCATGTCGATCCCACATACTATGAATTTAGTCTAGAGAGAGCTAAATCATGAAATCTTAATAAAAAAATTGTCATTTTTGTCAAGTCAATCATGCACTGGCCTGACCTGATAGAGAAACATTGAAAGTTACTACCACAATATTCTTATCATGAGGGGACGAAAGTTATTCCTAAATTGAAACTGTTAAAATTGGAAATCAAGAAAGTTACTTTTACACAATCATTAAATCGTACTAATCCATGAATCAGAGCATTGGCATTTCTATATGCTAAACATTGAAAAGAAGATTGAAGAACAAAGTGATTTTTATTTTATTTGTAGAAAACATGGAACTTGGAAATATGAATTCACCTAAGTTAGTAATTTTTTTAAGGAAGAATTCAATATTGCATTAAAGCTTCAAGGCGTTTATCTTTTGATGTTGACTAGAATCTATAATTGTAAAATAATGAAGATTGATTGGAAGGAAAGGACCCATTTCTTATCTGGGGTTTATTGGAAAGCGGTCATTCCCATACATGATCGGCTAAATGATTGGTAAGGATTGGCCTTATTAGCACTTGAAAACAGAGCAATATTTCATATGCATAGTACATGGGCAGAGTGTCACGGTCTTATAGAGAACGCATGGACTTTTATATTGGCTGTGTGTTATAATCAAATCATAGTTATAAGTGTTATATTATTTTTTATTTATAAAATATTTTTTATAAGATTAAATTATAAAATTTAATGATCCAAAAAAATAATATTTTATAAATTAATGTAGATTACAATATTTAATATCAAAAGACAACTTTGAAAAAATAATGACATGTCACCTAAGATATAGCTACACCCATCAATGACCGAGCCACAATTATCAGATACGCGGCGAAGGTAAAAATAGAAACACTTGACAGCACAAGAAAAAAAAAAAAAGACAATTCTTTGTTATTTTTTTTTTTGTTTTGTTTTGTTTTGTTTGCTGCACATAATAACCAGATTATGTAGAATTCTCTTTAGCAAGGGCAAAGACTGGTTACTTATGCCTAGTTTGCCATATCCATTACCAGATTAACTTCTGTGCATGCGTCTCGATTGGCTAATATATGCGTATTGATTGGATAATTATCTAATTTATTGTTTGTGGTGTTTTTAAATTTTATAAGTAGTATTAGTAAGATGATCATACCCACAAATATATTAAAAAAATAAAAAAAAAACTATAAAAGAAATGTACACATGACAGTCTCTTAATCATATTAAAAATTATATTGTCACTGTATTAAAAGCAAATTCTAATATTATTGTAATTTTTTGGATGGAGACTGTAAGAATCATTTAATTAATCATATTATTGATATATGTTTGCCAATAGTAATCAGGGACGTCCCACTTTCTTCTTTTTCTTTTTTTTTTTTTTAATTGTACAAAAGAGTGTCGAAACAGTACTTGAAAATTCTACAATAAGTGGGGTGTCGGAGGCTTTGCTTACGGTGTGGGTGCTGCTAGGACATCTTAACCGTTGTGTTTTGGGCTATTTTATTATGGTTTGCAATTAAATTGAGATTGTGGCTTCCAGTTTATCATCTAGGAATGTAATTGGGAATTTTTCTATTCCCTACTAACGTCACAGATGATTAATAATATTTAGAATTCATTTTTATTAACTGACAATAAATTTTATTTTATAAAATTATATTGCTCGACCCCTTTTACCAAATAAACTCGAGGGCTTCGACTTAAGCCCTAAACGTTATTGGCTCCTTCTTTTACAGGCTTTAGCCTGAAATGCAATGATCTACGGCTATAGTTATTTGCTAAGGCTCCTTTTTGTCATCAAAACTAAAGCTCCATTTTTATTTTTTTTTGTTTTCATTCTTTGAAAAATATAAAATACAAGAAATTAAGAATCTATTTTTTTTTTTTTTACATTTTTAAGACTTCATAAAATCTAAAACTATTCGGTTAAATTTGATACTGGACTTTCTTTTCATACTTGTAGTTGTCTATGTGATGACATGCGTATGAGTATAAATCTAAGTGGGTTGTGTGACAGCACTTGTTTGAACAGCTGCAGGCAAAAAATTAAATGGGATCGAAATTTTAAAAACACATATGAAACTCAAGTATGTGGGTCGGGTCTAAGTTGAAAGGAATAAGTCTTAAGGTGAACAACTTGATATTATACGTTGAGAACTGCTTGGTGGAAGGTTTTAAAATGCCTTAAAGTGGGAATTGTTTGGTGGAAGGTTTTAAAATGCCTTAAAAACATGGCGTAAAAAGTTAGGTACAAAAGGTTTTAGAAGACTCTGGAGCCCTGACCAAGCGCGTAGGTGCAGAAGGTTTTAGAAAGCAGATGCACAAGATTAGGTGCGAGCACTGTAGCGCTAGGCTCTGGTGCTCAAGCATGAAGTCTCTAGAAGGTCTTAGATATAAGACATCCAGTGAATATACATCGGCCCTTCCAGACGCGATACTCGATTGGTAATTTTGAACTATAAGGTTTTAAAAAAAACCTTAATCAACCTAGCATGAGTTTAAGAACCTTAAAATGATCTAGAAGGTTTATAATAACCTATACACTTGTATATTTAATGACCATGTATGTTATGCGGGGTCAAATATAAATAGGGGAACCTTCCCCCTCATTTGTGTAGAGAGATAGAGAGAGTTGAACTTAGAGTGAGAACATCAACTAAGGTTAGTTACAAGAGCATTGAACATTCATCACGTAAATAATACACTCTTATCTTAAACTTTTTTTTTTTAGTTTTCTCTCAAACTTTTAATAAATTAGTTGAGTGTACAATGCAATTGTTAAGTTTATTATCTGAAAAAAGCTGATTTAGGCATACTAAACGCTAGTTTCTTGTTTAAGTTGGCATGGTAGTTAAGCTTAAATTTCCAGCCCATGACATCTACTGGTCTTAGATGACATTTTGGACCCATCAAGATACACAAGGCAAGGTGACCAGTGTGGACTTGGCTGCCCAAAAGCTGATTGACAAAGTTAGAGACTTCTTCTAATCTTTAGTTCTCTATGCTTAATCAAATATTTTCTTTAAAAGACGTAATGGTTAGAACTTGTAATCTTGTTTTTAGATTTTGGAATTGTAATTTTTGGATGATTTAAATTTATGAAAGATAATTACCAAATCCTTATTGATCTCAACAAAATAAAAAAGCTGACGTGAACATTTTTATTTTTGTGAATATTTTCGTGAGATATACGAGATCAAGAAAATAGACAAAAGTTACCCTTTTTTATTACTAAAAATGGTAAAATACCAACTTCACAACTTATTTGTCGTACCATCATTCATCATGGTGATGGGAAGGAGTATGTATAATTCAGGTTTAACTAAATTAATCCACTAAATTAGTTTAATTCGATTAATTGATTAATTATCAAATTATAAAAAATAATCTTAAAAAATTTTAATTTTTGATTAATTCTATTCAAAAGCTGAAGTAACTAAAATTTTAGTTGAAATATTATAAAACTTATATATAAAATTGCCCATTTCGTTTTAAGTTATTGAAGTTTTTAATTTAATATTTTGATATTTGAATATTTTTGTTAGATAATTTTATTTAATTTATTTCATATATGAGAAAATAAAATTTTAAAATATAATATAATTTAATATATCTTATTATTTGATTAATAAAAAAATTAACCGATTTACTTTCGATTAGTTAATTTTTAAAATTAAAAAATTCAATTTAATTAATAAAAATAAAATAATATAATTTGATTAATTTGATTTTAAATAATTTGATTTAAAATTAATCAAATTGACCCAATAAACACCCTAATAATGGGTTGATTTTTTTTTCCAATTTTATTGAAGTCAAAATTAAACCAATCACATGCCAACTTTACAGCCAAATTTAATGTGTTTGAAGACAAAATTCATTCTGCTTTTAAATTAACAATTCCTTTTACCTAAACTACACATCAAGCAGTTATTTCCCTATTTGTATCAAAATATCAAACTTTGCTTTTCAAAAAAGATGAATTAAATGTCAAACTTTGCTTTATAGAAAGGACAAATAAACTTATCCTTTTTCTTCAAGTATGTTTGCTATGGTTATCATACATGTGAAAAAAAAAAGGTCATTTCTTCGGTGTTTAATAACATTTCATTCAAATATATGATTTAGATTCAAATTTTGAGAATTACCCATCAACATTATCACTTTAAAATTATTTTTAAAGAATAAATGATAAAAATAATAAGATTTAAACACTGTTTTAAAAAAAAAATAACAAACTTTTTTTATTCCACTGTTATTATGTACACCACCAGAATAATCAACCATTCAAACCCAAAATAATAGAACCATTGTCAACAACAACTCATAACAAATAAATTAAAGCCAAAAAAACAGAACACTACTTAAAAGAACAAAGAGAGCAAGAAAACAAGATCCTCAAGAATCATGATCCAAAAGCCCAAAAAGCAGGAACTCACTTTCTTAAGCCAAAAGGGCAGCGAAGACAGTAGCAGCAAGAGCTGTTGCACCAATGAAAACACCTTTGGTGGAAGCAGCAGAGGGAGGAGAACCTTGTTCGGATGGAGGCTCGGAGGCTGGAGCAGTTACACCAGAAGGCGCAGGAGTAGGAGGGGCAGAGATTGGTGAAGGAGAAGGCGAAGAAGTGGTTGGAGAAGGAGATGGTGAAGTGATGGGTGATGGGGTTGGAGCCGTTGAAGGAGCTGGAGTTGGAGATGGGTTTGGGGTTGGGGTTGGAGATAGGGTTGGTGTTGGCGTTGGTGTTGCTGTTGGGGAAGGTGTTGGAGTAGCAACTGGCGATGCTGTTGGGGAAGGCGTTGGAGTAGCAGCTGGCGATGGTGAAGATTTTGGAGAGGGAGTTGGTGAAGGTGTTGGTGCTTGAGCCATGCAAGAGATGGCCAAAATACCCAAGATCATCAAAACCTTAAACATTGTAGAACTCAACTTGGCTAGAGTCAAAACTTTTGACAGAAAAACAGGGAATTTTTGTTTTTTGGGGATTTTGAGTTTGAGAGATTTTGGGAGTGAGGAAACTGAAAGGAGGAAGAGTATAAAAAAGAGGAGAAAGTTGGAGAGAATGAAAGGAATTAATCAAATCAATAAAATAAAGCAACGAGATTCTTTTACATTATTTTATACAAACTTATGCAAAATGTAACAAATTATATAGTTTTATATACATCAATGCAAGCACATAATGCAGTACCAACCTATAAGGGCTATGTTATGAAACCTGTCTTCATTAGGGGCATTTAAGTAACTTAATTATCATTATAAATTTTGGATTTAGTTGTTGATTTAATTAAATGCTAATAGGGTGGACAAATACATATAATTTTTAGGTCACCTTCCTTTCACAGTCTGTCATCCGCGTTAAATTTTTCTTCAACTTCTTTGAAATGGTCCGTGATATTACCCCTTGTATATATATATTTTTAAATCAGATCTAATATGTTAAATTAAAAGCTGAATTGTGAAAATATTTTTAGAATATTTCTTTGATATGCTTGTTTATTTATGCATAACAAAGTCTAGATTCAAAGAATCTTATTAGACACGTGGCAACCATCTGTGAATTATACTGATTTAGATAGGATTAGTTGGGAAGTAGCCGTTTTGTGGAGATAATTGAAGAGAAAGAAAGAAAAAAAAAGGAAAATATATAATTAAAATAAAAGTAACCGTTGCAAATGGAAAGCGACTAACATGTTCCAATTTGTGTGCCAAAATGTGCATGTATTCATGTCCTGCTCTAAGACAAATGTGGAAGGTTTGGGAGGACTTTGATAAAATTGAGGTCTTGGTGTTTGAAGAAACCGAGTTACTTTCTTTGCTTGGACGTCAAGTGTTTTTGGTTGGCTTTGGGACACAGGGTGAGCTTAGAAAGTTGTTGAATGGAGTTAGGATAAACCAGCTGGATTAAGTGCTTGAGTTGTGACAAGGAAATGAAGGAATTTTATGGTTTGGTTCAATTAATCAATCTTTCAATAAAAAAATTTACCTAAATCGTGATGAATAGGAGCTGGCAAAAGCTGGCAAAGTAGAGACAAAATGGGGAGAGTTTGAGAACACTGGCATATGCTGGATAGTGGATTTAGTATAATTTTTTAGACACATGATTGTTGAGCTGCTTAAAAGAATGGTGTTGTTGGACAGTTTTTTCCCATTTTCCAATCATTAATTTTGGACAAAATATTGTACTCTTGAATGTCAAAAGAATAGTTTTTGATTATTTAAATTTTATTGTTTTTTTCGAAAGGATAAAAAAGTCTATGAAGTAGAGGTTTTTGCAAAAGTCAAATTGAAGCCGCTGCTAGTTCATTGGTTGATCTGTTCTGACTTCTGCGATCAGCATGAAAACTATCCATCACCTTCTGAAACGCTACTTCCCCACATTACAAATTTTGTTCCATTGAACAGCCAGAGAAACAGTATATTAACACAGCAACTTGAGAAAAATTAATGATTGGATATTGTGTTAGTATGGTAAAACTGAAATCAAGAAAATGGATTTTTGTCTTTTTAATAAATCTGAAAATTAACAAGCTGCAAGGAGCATTAAATTCATCCTCTCAATGGTTAAAAAACCCATTGCTGCTTCAAATTTTCATCTGTCCATGTTCTAAGTTGTAGCTAGATTTACTCACCAGTCTGCACAGACCACCAGACCAGTTCTATATTTCGACCTGGCTATATCCATCAGTCCAACCTGGATCTGGCCTTCACTTCTTCTTTTTTTTTTTTTTTTTTTGGGGGGGGGGGGGGGGGTAGGGGGGTTTGCATCAAAATCAATTAATAATCTTTTAAATGAGGAGCTGTTACTAGGCAGATAGAAACATAGGCTGCATGAGTTTTGACTTCTGAGACATGGTCACTAATTGCTATGCTCACAAATGCCCCCCATTAAACTTTGTTTTTATTGTTTTCTATTCTTGGCTTGTCTAGCAACAGCGAATAATTTAATGGGTTTATATTCGTTATATTGTCAGTTTAATAAATTATATATATTGTAAATGACTCAAAAAATATTATCTCATTAACAAAATAAATTAGATAATATTATCTTGCTAATGAGTCAATTTTTTAAAAAATATTAATTTTTATATATTTTAATTAATATTTACTATTAATAAAATGATATCATCTTATTTATTAATATCATAATGGTTTTGGAAACTATTAGATAAAAATTTTAAAAATCTCAAAATAAGAAGAGTCGTCATTTATCTTTTTGTTAGATGTGATTGGATATGAAAAAAATTATCTTTTTAATAAACCCTTAGAACTAGTTTAAAATTTATCAAAAAAAACTTTTGGTCATTGAAATCAGAAATGAGTTCAAAAGTATAGTTACGCATAGAAAATAATTAATATCCTCACAACATCCATTTTAAAAATCGTATTAGTTAATTATGTATTATCCCTTAACATTAATAAAAATGATCCTACTTTTGATATTTAAAAATAGTTTTCTTTTTTTTTTCAACAAAAAATCTTTTATTTTTTTAATCTTTTGTTTGAAAAAACAAATAAAAACCTTGTGTATTGAAAATTTTCAAAAATATTTTAATACGTTGATAATATTTAGAGTAATTTTCTCACTTATGGACCTCTTAAGAATTACTATTTAGATTTTTTAAGGATCTTATTTATGACGACTCATATTTATCTTCAAAATTAATACTTATGGTGCTTATAATAATGCTTATAATTTAATTCAAATAATACTTTCTTTTTATAAATTTTTTTATCATTTTTATTAAATCTTTTTCTATTAAAAAAAGGATAGATGAAAATCTTTATTAAAAATTATTTTAAATATTTCAATACTTTGATAGCATTTTTGAAAAATCTTTTCACTTAAAAATTCTTAAAGAACCACTATTCAAACTTCTTTAAGATTTCATTCTCAGATATTTTTGTTTTTTTCTTTCATCATTTCTTTATTTATCTTTTTGTTATTTTATTTTTATTTATTTTTTAATGAAAGTATTTTGTATTAAATATTTTTCTAAATACTCCATTATTTTGATGATGTTCTTAAAAAATATCCTCATAGAGATTTTATTAAAAAATCGTCACTCGAATATTCTTAATATCTCATCTTTAAAGATTTTCATTATTATTAGTTTTTAAATTTTTACATTAGTAGTAAACATTTTCACACAGAAATAAAAACAACAATAAAAATAAACATTAATAATAAAATTTTAAAAAATATTTATTTTCATGAGCATTATTAATTATTTCAAAATAAACATGTTTTATAAAAAGTGTTAGTGACATTAATAATGTAAAAACATTCAAATAAAAAATCTAAAATACATAAAAATCATACCAAACAAAATCTCGGTGTTGAAGCTCAAACTCGTGCGATCACTTGACTAAAGCTATTGAAGTCCAACTATTAGTTTGGATCTGTGTTGCTGGAACGGGTCAATTAATAGGTGAGTCAGGTCACAAGTTAGATTTGGGCCAAAAATTGATCGGATCCGATGTGGGTAGGTTGACTCGGTCAACTACTCTATTCTTTATTTTTACATTACAAGATTCAAACCCCCTTTTTTTATTATTTCATTTATTCTTCCTCTTTTCAAAAAAACAAAAATTTCTTTAAAAGTAATCAAGGAACACAGCCCAGAAGTCGACAGTTCCCTGTCGCCACGATTGCCATTGCGGTCGCCCACCGCCTAACAGCTCCTACCTCTTTTTTTTTTTTCCTTTCATTCTCTTTCTATTCCTCTTTTTTTCTTTTTTTTTCTCTTTTAATGGCCGAACCTGGCGCTGTCGAACCTTCTCATTGATCTTTGTCTTTCTTCCCCTTCATTTATTTTTTTTTTTCCAAAAATTAAACCACAAGACTTCACATCGAAACCCCTCTCTTCTTCATTTTTTTTTTTACTTTTTTGGGCATTGACACTGAAGTTCCTCCTTGAGGGGAGGACTATGATTTATTTTTTATTTTTTATTTCTACTTGTGACAGGTTTCGGGTGGGTTTTGTTTTTTTGTGTTTTTTTTATGGCTTTTTTTGTGGGGGAAAGGCTATGGCAATGAGAGGTTGACATTGGAAAAAAGGTAGGCCATTGATTGTGGGGGTTATTGGTGGAGATGCCACTATAGTTTAAGGTGGGTTTTTGTTCTTGCTGGGATTTTGTTACTGGAGTGGTTTCGATTGTCGTGGAGAGTGGTGATTCAGTTTAGGTGTTAGCTTTGAAAATGGTGATGGTGGTCAATTTTGGATGATGGTGATGTAGGTAATTCATTCGGTTGAGATAGAGAGGGGCATAGGTGATGGTTTTTTAGTTCTGTTGTGAGTGATTTTTATGTGCAAAAGACTGTAAAAAATTAGGCTATTTTTGGTGGAGGCTAGTCTCCAATTGAGGCTTAGGGATTTTGGTGATGATGGGGAGAATTAGGTTCCGCTTCTTTCTCAGACAGTGTCTAAAATTCCTTTTTTTTTTCTTAGCTATGGATTGTTCTTATAGATGCCTTTGATCAAATTATGTTGGGAGGCAGTGGGTTAAAAGTGAGGTGAAAAATGGAGAGTCGAATTTGGAGAGACAATTTGGGGTCTGGAGTCTGATAAGTTAAGAAAGCTTGTTGCCATGAGTAGATGGAGTAATGCAGAGCCGAGGTCAGTAAGATTTCAGTCAGCTCATGCTAATTGAAAAAGGGCAGTACTAAAAAGATGGACAAGAGCTGAAAATAGGAAGGGTGGAGTTAACATGAGGGAAGAGCAATGTTCACAATGAAATTAATTGCTCTAATAGAAACGTACCGGTTCATTTTTTTTTAATTTTGTAAAATTTTCATAATTTTGTATTTATTTGTATTACTCATTAATCAAAATCAAATTTGGGCTATAACATTGAATTTGGGCTTCAAAATTTTAAGCCTGGGTGACCCAAGATTGAACTAAATTGGATCTTCACCATGTAAGAGAATTAATTCAAAACAAGCCTTTAATTCAATACAAAGCTTAAACAAGCCCAATCAGATAAATTATATTAAAACATGTAAGCTCACTTAAATCGGAATGTTAAAATTAAGCATAAAATTGAATAAGCTCAAATTGATTCAGATAAAATTAAATATTTATAATTAATAATGTATAGAATTTATATATTAATAATACATTAAATATCAACTTTAACTTAAAAT